ATTTTTGGGCTTTCAATCAGGTCGCTTTTGAGTATATCGACTGCTTAGTGAAAAGGTTAATACGTTTGGTGCTCGGAGTGAGTCAATATTGCTATTCGCTGAACTTCAGTGGTGCAATAGTGAAGTCCATGTTCCAAGTTATATGATAGTTGAAGAAATAATGTAAATAATATCGTTTTAAATTTTAAAATATTTGATATGTCATAGTACACGGTACACAGCTGCAAAAGTTGATCAATACAGGGTACAAGGAATGTAAATTGTTCAATAGTACAGGGAGCGAGAAAGTAAGCTGATTATACAGACATACTATGTCCCGATCTCATGTATATTTACGTTGCAAACAGTGAACATAATACTAAAAAGGCCGCCTGTTGATGCTTTGAGGTGTCATCAATTGTTATTTAATCCAAATAAAGTAAACATTATTTAGTAGATTTAGACACGGGCTTTCAGGTCGTAAATGCATTTTAGTCATTAAATTAACAAGAACGCTAGATTATACGTGTTACTAGGGTATCAAATTGAAATAAAATAACGAAATTAAATATAAACACGTAAGTGATAAATGACTATTGGCTATCAGGATTAATGACTATCCGCTATTCAGAATAATTAAAATTGCGTGAACTACATGTAAAGAATCTTTCTATATAACCCCTTGAATAGTCTAATTCACTACCGTCCTCAAAAACCGATCATTTAAAATAGTTTGTTCAAAATACCATCATGCCACGACATTTTGTTCTTCACGATTTGCTGTAGAGGTGATATGACGTCGTATTTCTCTATTATTGTAAAAAAAAACTAATACCAGATCGATGTAGTCTTATATGACGTGTTGAATGTCAGATGTTTTTTGATGGTATCTGCTCCAGTGATTTTGCATTTAATCATGAAACGCTCATCACAAGACACCTCGAAACAAGCATTATCCTCCTTGTGACAAGAGGAAAAATGTTTCACAATATGTTATGCCTTACGGCAAAGTAAAGATACATTTCCGGGACGACTATTTTGCATCTTAAGATTTTAGAAAAACAATTAATTCACAAAAGTACAGTTGAATAACATACTGGAAAACGTATCCACATATAACACGATGACAAGCAGTTTAAATAACAGTTTACTGGGGTTTTGTTACATATCAATGTAACATTTTCGAAGGGAAACTTACATGCTCCCTGTACGTTGACAGATTTACTGAAATGTATCGTGTATTGCATTAAGTTTTGCTTCACTGCGCCCACTATTATCTATCTTTGCCTATAGTGGTTTTTTGCCAACAATATTCTACAAACTGCTTGATGAATCAATTCTATGTCTGGTAGAACACTAAAAATAAATGTAAAATGTATTTTACGTTCAGAAATATGGAATTAAACCCACGTCCTCCATTTGCAACTTAGCTGTACCCTGTCTCCCTTTTAAACGTGGTCACGTGGTAGGGTAGTGTGTAGTTATTTAAAATTGTATTACCAATAGTACTATACCACCCAGTATTTATAGTCTCTGGACAAATGTAAGTAGACAACATAGTCCCCCTGGACATCTATAACTAGGTAAATAAGGATAATTATAAGTTGTCTTGGGGACCGAGGCATCCAGAAAATATAGTCCGCATGGACATGTACATCTAGAAAATTAAGATTTCGTTGTCTCAGGGACAGAATTACCTAGAAATTATAGTCTCCTGTACGTGAATTAATATTAAAAGTCATTGCAGAAAATTGAGGAAACGAATATGCCAATGCATTTTAGTTCGATTTTATGCAGAACATGGTAAAGAAATAAAAAAGGAAAGAGTGGGAGTCGATCCACTATATGGGCAACAGTCAGAAGACTGTTCTAACCACTGTACTATAGGTGATTGGATGCCATCAGTGTTTTTTAATTCATTGATAAGATATCAAATTAGCATATATCTTAGTACTTCTATAGTACGACACCTACACATTTAAAATAAAAATAACAGATAGGACCAAAATCTAACCGGACAATCAATTCGTTTTTTACTGCTGTCAACATATCTATAGTTCGTCAGTAAATATAGTCCGGGGTTATAGTGATAATGGAATTTCTCAGATAAGCCTTAATTAAGCTGTTTCCTCCTGTTCATCCTCCAATCGTTTTGATGAGTTTAAATGATATTAAATGATAAAACATACATTCCTACATGCATTTTCACTTGTTGAGCACTTGTCAACATTACCATTTAATTATTATTGAGGGGTTTAACAGGGGTCCACAAAAAATAAAAATATTAGATTTTGATATTTTTGAAGTTTACAACAAATTATCTACTTATGAATCGGTTTTTAGCATGACATATTGATTTTATCTGTTTAATTGAAAATAAGATCACCTGTCTGACTATATTTTGCATTTAAAATGATTAAAATTAATTGTTCCATTTAGTTCACTTTCATTGTTCCATTTAGTTCACATCATCTTGTTTTTTGTTGATCCGCCAATTGTTTTGATATGTTTAAATGATAAAACATATATTCCTACATACGTTTATACATGATGATCACTTGTCAACATTACCATTTACTTATTATTGAGGGGTTTGACAGGGGTCCACAAAAATAAAAATATTAGATTTTTGAGAAGGTTATTAGCATGACCTATTGATTTTATCTGTTTAATTGAAAATAAGATCGTCTGTCTGATTATATTTTGCATTTAAAATGATTAGAAATCATCTTGTTTTCATATTAGTATGCCATATTGATTTATCTGTTTAATTGAAATAAGATCGTCCGTTTGACTATATTTTGCATTCAAAATGGTAAAAAATAATGGTTCCATTTAGTTCACTTTCTTTTAACATCATCTTGTTTTACGTTGATCCGCCAATTGTTAAATGATATGTGTAAATGATAAAACATATATTATCACATACATTTTCACATGTTGAGGACTTTACCGTTTACTTATTATGGAGGGAGGGGTTTAACAGGGAGGGGTCAACAAAAATATTAGATTTTGATAGTTTTGAAGTTTACAACAGATTATCTAGTCATTAATCGGCTTTTGGAAAGTTTACTAGTATAACATATTTTATCTCGATGTACATTAGATGTTCAAGAGACCAGTAAACTTATTTATTAATTATTGAGGGGTTTAACAGGGGTTCACAAAAAATATAAAAAATATTAGATTTTGATATTTTGAAGTTTTTTTGGAAAGGTTAAAAAAGCAAATTAAAAACATTAGGTTGTAACAATAAGCTTTAAAAAAATTATCCAGTGTTTGATGAGTTATACCCCCCACTGTGAACATGGATTCTATTTTGATCTAATTTTTCAGTTGAAATTTTACATTATGCTCTTGATATATAATAATTCATGCTTTTTGTACTTATTTTTTATCTATTCACAAGAAATCTTTTAAAACGATTATTTCTTCAAAAAATGGACCCCTGCTTAAATCTCAAATAAATGATAAACGGTAATGTTGTGTGATCCTCAACAAGCAATACCATATTCAGTGATATTAAATCTATCAACATAAACTATAAAAATGATTGGAACTTGAACAGGAGGTAATTTTCAAATATTTGTCAATTCCTTTATCAGTATTATATTGTATACCAATACAGATAATATTGTCCGTTTAAGACCATACCCGGCATATGGAGGACGGAGGACCTGGTGTCCTAGGGTTATGGTCCTATCGACCATATATTCAGGGAGACTATATTTACTCTGACACCGGGAAAAAATCATATATACTCGCAAAATCGTATTTTCCGGGACAAATCGTAGTTGGATCGTATTCACTCAAAAATCGATTTGGTGGAAAGGTATCATAATCCTAAATCTACCCGGGACACTAATAGTATATAATTTAGTAGTTGTTCATCACAGAATGGTCATCGTGCATCATGTGGTTCAAATTCTATCACTTTTATAGCCTTTTACTTGTAACAGGGCCAAAGAAAAATTAAATTATGGAAAAAGAGGCCACTTTCATGGTTGATTTTCAATATGGATATTATTCCACGAGAAATATGACATTGACCTCGGTAACTATTATATTGACACTCACTCGCTACGCTCGTTCGGTCAATACCATATTATGGAATAAACTATATATCCACAGTTTTCTCTGGGAAATAAAATCGTATTGTCCCTCTAAAAATCGTATTGTCCCGGTAAAAAATCATATATATAGAGGTTATTTAATGGGAGGGATGGAGTATGGATTTTATTCCGAGGGAAAATATGATATTGGCCAAGGAAAATCTGAGGCCGATATCATATTTTCTCAAGGAATAAATCCATATTCCATCACGACCATCAATAACCTATTTATTTCATAATATTTTTTTTTCAATTTTTGTATGTCATCATCCAATGATTGTGACATAAAATTATACAATTTAAGTTTTACTTAAAAATATAAATAATTTATAACAATAAAATGGCTCATAATATGGCAAAATAAACACAATATCATGAAACGTCTTAATGAAACATGTGGATGTAGAATGGGCCTACATGTATGTACTTTTCAAGAATGTCTACATCTGAGGTGGTCATAAGATCATGGGGATCTATCTCCTCGATCGGTCTGAGTTCATTCCTCTCACTCCGTAAAAAATCTACTAGGATTTTTATGTCACTTTTAGTTTTCTTCGAAGTATTGATATTTTCTTGACCTTTAATGAAGTCATCAACATCCTCTGTTGCATACCTAGACATATTTGTCACAGTAATAGACGTAAACTAGATGATAATAATTTCAATAATTTCAATTTTCCAAACGATTTTTTTACTTCCTGTAGAGATGTGCTAGACGAAAAGCGTAAAACTCAAGAGAAATTACCGGGAATATTTCTGATACGGGATCTGATACGGGATTTTTGCTGATACGGGATCCAATACGGGATCTGATACGGGATTTTGGCTGATACGGGATCTGATACGGGATTTTTCAAATAACACTTTTATTCCCTGTTATTTTCCCAGGGAAAACATGTTATTATAGAATAAACTCTGTTCATTCATATTTTGATATCATAGAAGTTTTACAATTCTTTCTAAAATAATCTATGCAAGTTTATTAAGAAGATTATTCAAAAGTAGAGCACCTGAATATTTTATGGAATGTTGACCAATATCCATTCTAAATTTTTGGAGTCGTATCTCATGTTAATGGAGTTCAAATATGTCCGAAGGAAAACCGAAAGAGGTGAACTGTGAGCTGATACAAGAATGCAAAGCAAGAGTTCAAATAGTTTTTAGTAACCGCTGTAGGCGTGCATTTTATTTGAAACCCTAGTATAAACATCCAGGAAACATGCGTTTACTATTGTCTGTTTTTATTAAATATGTGGTTCATAATTATCATAATATCTCCCAAGTTTTGTTAATTGGGAAGCCCTTTCGTGCAGAAGTGATGCGCCTTTCTTGATATAAGTGTCTTTATGGCTTAACCGCCATGTGTACCATGCGTAGCGGTTGATCCAAGGTGCTGCCTCCAGTTTTGGAAGTATTTCTTTCATGAACTGTAATTGAACGTCGGGGTCATCTTCCCTCGGGCAAGATAATTCAGTGAGCCATATATCCAAGTTGTATTGGTCGTGTAGCTTTTCCAGATAATACATTACATAGGACGCATTACATCCAAAGTAATGCGTGGCCAAATAATCGAATTCACACCCGATACACATGTCCATAAACATATTGAACCATTGTAGAACTGTTGATGTACACCTGCTCTCATCTGTCCCACAAATTGAAGCGGAAGGTGTAACTAATTTTCTGCCACCCTCTTTTGCAGGTTGAACTACTTTCATCATCCACATCATAGCCGCTTCAACAGCACCAACGTTAGCCTGATTTTTATGGTTCGGCTCATTATACCCCAACACATGATTACTTTCTCCTGGTTCTTTATTCATTAGATTTTGTTTGAGATTACTTGCCTCGTCTCCATAATGCAACGTAAATATCATCGGTACTCTCTCCCCCAGATTAGTTAGATCACTAGGTTTACATTCTTTCCCATTTAGCTTCTGGATGATTTTCCCTTTGGTTTCTTTTGCTGTTAGTGACCAGTCATACCTTCAAGAGAAATATTTAGCTACTACTTCATGTATATGTCTCATTTAGATGATGCCATTTACGAATTCGGAATTTCTCTATCATGAGTGAAGTGATTCTTTCAGAGGGACAGTATAAGACTGAAGTATAGAAAGTAAATTGTTTACCACCACTTTATATCTTTGAAAACTTCGAAATCTCTACAGTCTTCCATCCTTGACAGGGAAACGGCAAGACCCTTCTTTGTAGACGACTTAGCTGTAAAAATAAATATAGGATATATAACGATTTCTGATATATAATGCCAAAATCATGGTCCCTGTCCAATTGTCAAAAGTGAATGATTAAACACCCGATGCGGAGGTTTCCCTCTGCTGCCCAAAAATTATCACTAGCTGACAACATTTCACCAATCTCTGTATCTCCGAGCAACTATCCAAACATATCAAAGTTAAAAAGGAAACCAATAGAGAAATATAAATATATTGGAAGAAACTTAATAATGGAAATGAGGAAAAACAATATATTTTAGAAATTACTTTTTTAAATCTACAAATCTCACTACGGGTGGGCCAAAAAACGTCCATATTTTTTATCTGTTCGATATAACTTTTTTGAAAATACATGGATTTCCATAAGTTTTTGCAGGATATGTAGAAATGAATTTTACAAATGTTCCAAAAGTGGAATATCTTAAGGAGTTTCTGAACAATGAATGTAAACAGACACTAGGGGTGACCGGTCTATATGAAAAAGTTCAGAGTTCAGAATGAAATTCAAAGCAACAATCTTTACAATGATAATAATCAAGCCTCATTTACATTTCCACATTGACTTGATGACTTTTTTTACTTCGACCGATGAGGAAGACAAGATGGACTGGTTCAACATCAAGAAAAACGGAATAACAGGTGAAAGTTTTGTTGAAAAACGATGTTCTCTTATTGACTTGTAATTTACATTTAGTATTAATCTGATCGAGTTTTGAAGGACAATGAAGAAACAGGTTCTTTAGTTTATGGGTTCAATCATCTCTATTTTCCATTTTTGGAACGGCAAAAATAAGAAATTGGGAGACCATTGTGCAATAATATATGGAAAAGTATATTCATAATGTACATGAATGACATTTGTATATCTTGGATTGCTTCTAGTTTGGCTTATAAAGTGTGTGGCCTCTTATATTTGGATGTTTCTCTGCCATGTTATTTTCAAGAAGATTAACATGGCTGAAATTCTTCAAATTACAGGACGGCACAGGCTTATTGCACAAAAAACTAAAAAATCTGAAATATACAAATGTCATTCATGTACATTATGAATATACTTTTCCATATATTATTGCACAATGGTCTCCCAATTTCTTATTTTTACCGTTCTACTGACGAAATGAAGCAGTGAAATGGACTCTAGTCAACGAGTCATACCTCTATTTTCCATTTTTTGTATAATGCAGTCATGAGCAACGAGTCATAGTAGTCATTAGGCAACGAGTCTTTCTAATTTTATTTTTATGAAGTCACTAGTGAGAAGGTGCCTTTGACATTGTTACTTTTACATTAGAGTCGGGTTTTGTAGGTTGATGGGCTGTTTCCTTAAGGCTCCTGTCGAGTAATAGTCCATGGTATGAAATCTCTAGGACGTCTAATAAAGGAGCTGGTAGCACACAATAGCGCAGCGATATTTGACCTTACATTAACATACCTACACATGTCCCCTAATAAATCTTTTTATAACCGTTCAATATTATACTTCCGGCTTTTAGGCTGAATTATGCGTGCCATTAACAGAGGTCAAAAAATCACCAAAAAATAAAATCCCAATTTTTCACAATTTGGAGTACACAATGCAACAGAAAATAATACAAAATAATTTTAAATATATGATTTAGGTTTCTAAGCTATAAGTTTGAGGTTATTATTCTTATCAATACCAAAAGATATGTAATCAGTGTATCGACGTTGTGTATTGTTTCTCAGGTATTAATAAGATAAATGCTACAAATGAATCACTTTTATATTGGAATGACAAATGTTTAAATTATGCTAGTTTTTCACAAAAGGGGTCTCGATACGTTTTTAGATATGGACTTTTATTCTGCGGTGAAAATCATCAATAAAGGCGGGCCTATTGCTCTTCCTTGATTAATTGGGACTACAGCTAAAATTGTATTTCCCGAAGTTAGATACAGCTCAGTTGCTTATAAAACAACCATCAAGACTTGATCGCATTCATGAATAATTGAGAAAATTCGTTATCATTATCTTCCTAAAATTTGATTGTATCCAGCGGTAAGGTCAAAGAACAAACAGCCATCAGAAAACTTGATGATAGCCACAAGTAACGTCGAGGAAGAATTTCAAGGCGTTCGATTGCATATGACTCTAATTGATTATTAGACATGCCCTTGGAATATATGAACATTCCAGTACCTCTGTAACATTTAATTAGATATAAATCTTACATATTTGTTATTGTATTATGTTTTGTAAAACAAGAACAATAATTTGTTGTTAGACCCCTTGCGATTATATGGAAAAATTCTGGTAATAAAATGTTTTAAATAGTAAGAAAACTATTATGTTCCCAATCATAAATTACTAATAAATATTTCACATAATTTTGTTGAATCGGCTTGGCTCATTTTTGAAAAATCAAACAAAATCTGAAAGCACACGTTGCATAATTACACTAATTAAACACCGATATCTACGGTAAAATGAAATAGTATATTTTTAAATTATGATAATTTATTTTTGTTCGTATGCTCAGAATAACGGTCTGTGTCTTATAAAATGTATAAAAGTTCGAATCAAAATATTTACGTTTTTTGACCCCTTGTGATGAATGACATTTTTCGACCCGAAAGCCGGAAGTTTGTTCAGCAAATGGTATTTTAAAAGAATCAAGATATGTACACCTTCATAAATATTGCTTCAACTGTTGCTGCGCTATAGTGTGCTACGGATCCTTCATATTCGGAAGTCATACCATGGACTATAATGCCTTGGTCACATTTGCTGCGATTCATCGGCCGACGCCTGGCAGATTGAGTATTTTGTTCAAAATTGAATACATTTCTGAACAAAATGCTCAATCGGCCGGGCGCCGTAGTGAAAATCGAAACCTATGAGACCAAGGCATTACACGTAAGGTTATGAACAAAAAAGTAGGATTTCCCTCCGTGAGTCCGTGCTGTACTCACTTGCTTCGCAACGTAGACCCTTGAAGTGACCATCTGGACATTCGCATTCAAACCCCTCCTTTATGGTCGGGTTCTCCCAGCAAGTACCTCCGTTTAGACACATATTCTTCTTACAAGGTTGCATGGCTGCAAATATAAAGCGGAAATGGTAAAACGAAACTTTTGAATGATCGGTCATCTGCATTGTGTTTATATCGAACAAAGGTCATTAGGTATTTTAAGTATAACAATGCATTACTGATGCCTTGGTCACATTTACGCAGAATTTCACTACGGCGCCCGGCCGATTGAGTATTTTGTTCAAAATTGAATACAATATTGAACAAAACACTCAATCGGCCGGGCGCCAGCCGATGGATCGGAGCATATGTGACCAAGGCATAACATATAGTTATAACAGATTGACTGGTAAAGTAAGGATTTAAATCCTGGATTCAGTACATTGTGTGCTGGATCATTCTATTGTTTCCAAATCTTTGCATGACCGAGCAGAAGAAATGCAAAGTTTAGGAAACAACATCTGAGTGGAATGAAACAGCCATAATGCATTGGTCATGAGTATTGGGCTTAAATTATTTTCATACATTGCAAACTATTTTCTACGAAATCAACTAAAAGATATAAAATCACGAAAAGAACATATTTTCAATGAAGCTTTTTGCAAGGATCAAGTTGGCAAAGTATCTATTTCAATCTTGAGAGTCAAAGTGTCTCCTTGACAATTAATAAATTGACCTTGGATGCGGTGAATGGTGATATACTGCGCTGCAATTATATGAAATACTGAGTTCGCATTGGCTGGAATCAGACACACCTTGTCTGGGTATGCATGAATGGCTGAATGTCTAATCAATGGATACGTCATAACTGTATCTTTTTTGTACAATCGTTTAATATTCATGACCTACAAACCTTTACATGTCGGTGCATTTCTTGGGCTCCAAGATTTCATTTCGCAGACGACTAGTTCATATCCTTCCATGCGGTACCCGCTTGCACAAGCGTAACGTACTGCAGACCTGTCGTCAGCCGCCCAGGCAATGACGCCATTGGGTACCACCGGTGGTGAACCGCAAGGACCGCTTCCAAAGCCACCAATTATAACTAAAAAGAGTTTGAAGTATCCAACTCAAAAGCGATCCAACGAGTCGTTTTGTCGAAAAGCTCGGCATATAATACCTACGCATATGGGCAAATATTTGGATTGGAACAAGTGTATCCAATCCAAGATATATTGCTGTCGTATATAGTTGATTTTTGGTCTGATATTGATAGTCAGCGTATATGAGAAATGTGTGAACGTAAAATTATAACTTGTTGCTAAGATTAAAACATGGTTCGCTTCAAAGATGACAGGTTTCGTATCAAGCAGAACGAAATATGACAAAATTATGTAGTAAATATGACTGACCTGTTTTAAAAACTGACAAACCAAAACACTAACTATATACATGTATATCTAGTAGCCATTAGGCAGCGAGTCATGCCTCTATTTTCCCTTATTTTTTGATATTTCTAATATTATTCTATTTCATGTTAGACCCGGGTTTTGGATATTGATGGATTATTTCCATGAGGCTACTATCGAGTATCGCGTATGGATATGAACAAAAGAAGTAAGATTTTGCCTCTGTATACTGACCATTAACTTTATATGAACATCCATTTTAAAAAGGAGCAGTACTTAAGATAATTGAACTACATACTCTATACGCTTAGTAATGGTACTGTCCTCTCGTTGTGACAAGTCATGATTTGAGAATTTAAAAGGAAAATAGACAGGCATGGCTTATTCTGCTACGGCTACTATGATTTTAAAAATAAACAATGTTCATCTTCATTCGATTCCTCAAACCTTTATCCTTTCCTCTGCCCCTTTCCCTGTCAGATTGGCGCACAGGTGGAGGTGCATATTTGGTTGCTAACTTTCCATTTCTCACGCGTTTCTCTTCTTTAGTCTCTAAAGTATCATCCAGTAAACCCTCCTTTGCTGAAGTAGTAATGTAAGTGACATTTTTAAAGCTAGAATCAGAGATAAGGGAAACAAGCTCGATCGTGAGCCAATGAACGCATTCGACAACCAACGTGCCCTTTAAATTCCCATCTACAGTATGATAGTTTTAAGATGCATGGTATCTCATCAAATAGTAAGATGTTTCAGGTTAACAATTTGCAAAAACAATATGTATAGTGGACGTGATTTACCAAGAAATTAATGACATGTACACTATACAGGGTGACCCACCTTTTTGGTGACAACCATTTTTGGCCGTCCTGTTTAAAGAAGGTAGTCAAGTAATTATTGATACAACGTATTTAAACTGTTCAGATAATATTTTAAGACGGGGAGCTGGGAGATATTTTTCTAAAACAGCCTGAAATATCAAATAAAACAATGATCGGAAAGGGTATACACGCTATCTCTGATTCTCCCTTTAACTGTTGCTCGACATTTTTTAACACAGAACATTAAAAAATTGATACACTCAAAAACGTTCTTACATATGCAAGCGTAGTCCACCTCAGTCCAATAGCCTTGTTTGTGGCATTTACGAACTCCTTTCCCATTTTTTGGCTTAGGGTAGAGTTCATAGCCATCAATACAGGTGTACGTGACCTTAACGTCAGTATCATACTCTGCTTTCTTGGCCTTCCCACTTGCTGGGGGTTTTGAGTAGCTAATTTCTCCGTTGTTACTTTTCTTCGTCCATTTTCCTAGCGAAGGGCATCTTCCTGACACTATAAAATATTACAAAACATGAAACATATTACTTTCGACAAAATTTATTCTGACTATAATAATCGGTAGTTACAGGTGTATACTTGATTTTGAAAAGAATCGTGTCTGCACTTAACTGTCTTGGATTAGAAATCCTAAAATGTAAATAATAACGTCTAAAACTACCCTATATAAGGAACGCAATATGGCTTACTCATTTGAATATCACACGTATGTGATACGTATGTTTTCCATGGCCACGCTGGCCATGCAATGGCTGAGTCTGAATCAGTGGAGATGATTATATAAGAGTAAACAGAAATGATTTACAAAAAATACAAATATTTAAAGTAAAAAGTCCTCCTCAGTCGATTGCTATACTTTAGTAATGTCGATGATAATATTTTATTATGTCTGTGGGATTATTTACCATTCATTATGAGATTGGGTACGGGGTCTTACCTGTACCCCTCTTTCTCTTGCAATTGAATGAGACAGTGGGTATATATATACGGAGCCGGGGTACGGAGACTTGTGAAAAACTAGCCCGCCAGTCCTTTTAAACCAATGGGTCACACATGAGCTAGGAAACCATTTTTCATAATTAGTCTTGGTCCACTTACTTAAACATCATAAGGACAGAACTAAATAGAATACAAAACATGTAAATCAATTGTGTACTTTTTTTACACATTAATATACAAATGTCGTATTGGTGTTATTTGCTGAAATCTACTCTCTTCTATGGTATTATTGATAAGTTAGGTGAAAAAATGAATGAATCAATCAATAAGAATACAAAATGAAACCAACATCTTTAGATAATAAAATTCCCCATCGTCAATGAAAAATATTACATCGGTCACTTTTCTAGCTATTTAACGAACTGGAATTCAACTGGCACATTGATACGAACGAATACATATACAGTTCTATTTAATTAATTACATTAGCAATGATATTATTTATTTTTAATGACAATTGGTTAATTAAAAATATGAACGAGTTTACCTTAATATTGCGTGATATGTGTATTTTGAAATATGATAAGGCTCCTATTTTAAAATGCACGAGGGGAAGCTAAAAGGTTGTTAAGTTGTACTGAACATTGTTGAAATAAAGCAGAGATATTTAAGAAATATAGACCGGAGAGCAGGGGTAATATCGTCGAATACACCCCGCAGGGCTAGGCATAAAGTCTGTATTACGATTCGAAATGAAAACTCACCAGAATGTTTCGACTATTCATTATGGTCCGTCATTACTACCCGCTGTTATGACGTCACACATTACTCGTATAAACAGGGGTATCGTTCGCGAATATACCCCGGGTAAAATTTTGAATTCGTTTTCAGCTTATATCAATGCAAACATGACTGTATTCACGCCTTCTATAAACTGTGAACAAAGTCAACATTTCACCCGGTGTATACTCGTCAATACTCCCCAGGTCAGGGGGGGGGGGTACCAGGGTTCAAAGATGACATAGGCCTTACGTTTATAATGTAAATCTGTATTGAGATGACATCGTCGCTGATTGGTCAAAATTCGACAAACAAATGACGTCATCAATGGCGGTTTCAAAATTTTCGAAATACGCTTCGAATAATATTATGTTTATTTCTGGCGTGTTAACCAATATCATAGCTTCTCATTTCACATCAAGATAAAGAAAGGTGTACGGAATATGCCTATATCAATTAAAACATCCCATCGAAGTGTAGTATTTGATAACTAGCCGATGAAAATTCGAACGAACGAAGATGGTAAGCAAGAGAGGTAATTATGTCTGTCATCTTTAAACTCTGGGGCTTTCCCTCCTCTTTCCCCAGGTAATACAAGTAATGTGTGACGTCATAACAGTATGGTTAAGTAATTGCCGACCATTAAATGATATTCGAAAAAGTTTGGTTAGTTGTTCGAATCGTAATAAAGACCTCAGGGCAGGTGTAATATCGACGAATATACCCCTAGGGCTAGGCACAAACGCTTTCGAACCCCTCACTCCCATCGATTGTTCGGGGTACAGAAAACGTTTGTGCCTAGCCTGCGGGGTGATTTCGTCGATATAACTCCTGCTCTTCGGTCTATATTAGGGTATCATTAGTAAGTTGTAAAAATATGAAAGAGATCAGTTACAATCATATTATGTGAGAATTGACAAATTGCATGTCAAAAAATCAAATATCAATGGAAAAGCCACTTATTTCAGTCCAAAAAAGCTGTTCTTTCCAAACAGAAATGCCTTTGTGTATTTTTCCATTGATGTCGCCTTCAATGACATACTTATCCCATCCTTTATGCATGTTGGATGCATTTTCCATAAGTTTATTGACTGTAACATGACTCTAACTCTTGCCCTTAATTCCTAAAATGATTTGATTTTCAACCGAAACATTTCACCTTGAAACAGCCTTATCGCTTATCATTGTTTATTCCTCAAAACTAAAATTTTGGGACAGAATATATTTTAGAAACAGAGAACAATGAAACAAATCATAATCATGACAAACCTGACACACAGACAAAGTGTTTTTGAGACTAAAACTAGTTGAAATTTTCAATCACCTGAATGCAGGCACTAATGCTTATGAAGTCTCTTTTTCACAGCAATGGATTTTTTGACATGCATTTTTGAATTTGTCAATTCTCACAAAATATGGAACCGATCTCTTTCATATTTGTACAACTTGCTAATGATATCTACCCTGAGGCTACTTTATAGAAATTTTCAATCAATTTGAATAATCAATTGCTGAGAAAACACTTAAAATAGCGATTCATTGTTTTCACTGGTCAGTATCAAAATGCGGTAACGGCCGTTACCTACTCATCTAAGATGGCGGACGGAAAGTGTTGACTTCGATATTTTGGGTTTTCGTGGAATTAAACTGCTTTATGATTGACGTAATGCTTAGATATTTGAACTTGATAATCCTTACATATTATGGAAACTTTGGAGCATGACCATTTGTTCGTAAATCATACGTGAATGCCATAATTCAACGATATGTTACACCGCTTAAGGGAAGGTAACTGGAAGCGCCTGCTACGATAACTGACACGTCTGTTTCCAAGATGATGCGGTTACTGTATGAAGTTAATAATATAGATCTTTTTTCTTTCAGACCAAAATGATGCACTTCGCTATAATTTGCAGTTTTTGTACATTACGGTTGGGAAGTGCAGCATTTATCCTGCACCATACGATACGATGCCATGCAATAGACATCGCACATTGCAGCTTTTCTTATCAAAAAAGGAAGCTAAATGTCGGGACAGGTGTCGATGTCGATTAATTAATTGAAATTGGGAATAGAGATAATGTGAGCCCCCACTTGTTATATATCAGGTTTTGCTTTGTGAACTGGTCCTCCATTATAAACTCTCATAACGTTACCGCATCACCACAGATCAGTTATCGTATCATTTGCAAAATCAGAATCTGTTACCTTCCTTTAAGCGGTGTAACATATAATTGAATCATGGCGCCCCCGTATGATTTAAGAACAAATTGTCATACTCCAAAGTTTCCATACTATATAGAGCTTATCAAGTTCAAATATCAAAGCATTACGTCAATTACAAAGTAGTTTAATTTGACGAAAACCAAAAATGTCTAAATCGACACTCTCCGTCCACCATCTTAGACGAGATACTGACCAGTGATTTTGGGACACCCGATATAATCCTGGACTTTGATTTAGCCATATATTCAATCGTGACACTGAGACTATGTTGACAAAGCTCAGTGACTCCAATCAGAATTGTGTTTAAAATCATATCGAAAGCCATCGATAAAGGCGATATATCAATCATATCTAACGTAGAGTGTCGAATCTATCCTCCTAAAGAATTGAAAAGGGTATATTTTCATCTTTCATTTTTATTAAACTCTGCACAAAGATCTCAAATCACGTGATTCAATTAGCATATAAATAGGAAGTTAAACAATATTTTCAGTTAAAATGTGAAAATAGTATCTGTCCAAATATTTTGTTGTCATTGAAAGGTCGGCATTTAAACAAGTTGCACTAGGTTGTTGCAGAGCACGCCCAATGAATTCATGAAATTTATCGTATGTTTTCAAAAAATATTTGTTGCCTCACTTTTTAATTTCTAGATCCGCCTTATAACTACATAATGCTATTGTATGAAACTATATGTTATATATATATTGCACTTATAAAAACACCCCATTAGTATTTTTATTGACATGGTTCATAATTTATTGCATATAATTAGAACTGAAAGATACGCTACGATAACAATTTGTCATTGTACTTTTAATCTGAGGATTTCAAGTCGTAAGTATATAGAGTTCAGAGTTAAAAGTACAAGGGGTTATCAATAAATTTTGCAAGCAATTCCATACCTCAGAAAAAATCAGGAGTAATGTCAGGGGTAGTCAGCAATTGTCAAGGGGATACGATATTTTGGGTTTATATCAGTGCGAGCGAAGCGACCCCCAACATTTAAAAAAATTTAATTTATATTGTATATGGTGCATTTCAAACTATAATGTGTCAACAAATTAGACAAAATTGCTCTTTTTCTTTTTTGTGGGGGTGGGGGAGGGGGGGGGGTGCAATCACACTTATCGCAACCCCTGGCTATGCCCATGAATGTTATCACTTTCCAACATTTAAACAAAGTACAATGTGTGACCAATACATTCGCGAGTGATTCTCTATCTCAGGAAATATTTTGAGGTATTTACCTTGCTAGGAAGATTATACACTCCAAATTGTAGTTATGGAATAAGTCTCGGAAAGCACTCTTGATAGAAAATTGGTATTTTACTTAAAACCGAACAAGTATAATTTACGCTTTTCAAATCTCGCAAAAATATATTTTTGTTCGAGATTTTGTTCGAGATCTTCAAGATTCATTGAACAATTTTGTCGCATGCAATTGCTTCAAGAAAGGTGAAGATTGACAAGAATCAAAAGCTGACTAGCAACGAATCGAATTTGACCATTCTGAGGGCCTCTTTGGTCATTACTGGGCCTGATATGGG